ATCAATAAACTGAAAAATGGGGAAAGTTGAAGATAGTATTGTACCCCTACCCCACCACCACCACAACAACAACAAAAATGGAAATGTGTATACAGTCATTTCAAAACCTCTCGAGTGAATAAAGCAAGCCTTTTATGAAGGTGCAAGTTACTTAATAAATAATAACTGCTAATTATATAACTGTCAGTGATGTTTTCTGGCACAAGCTAACATCAGCTTCTTGTGTTACAGCAAATAGTAAAATTTCAGGAAGTTAAACATAGTCACAGAATTCTGTGGGCAGACAAACCCAGGCCTTATCTCTTTCAAATGCAGCCATGGAAAATACATGATAAATTGCATGGCTCAGTGAACACATTATGTCATTGTGAAATGATTTTGATTCATGTTTATGTATTTATCACTAAACAACTAAAAAGCCCAAGGTATCAGAAATTTGTGGGGTCTTACCATTTTCCCTGTAAAATTCAAGTGTGGTAAAGTGATTTTCCTAATTTAAAATTCTATATTGAAAGTGAGAATTTTGCACAAACTCTCTGGAAATAATTCTTTAAATTGTGTGAATTCCTGACAGAAATGTCAAAGAGATATGCTAGTTGCTAATATCTTAAACATAATGAATAATTCATTTTGGGGTTAATATCCTTTTATGAAAATTTTATAGCTATAAATAGGCAAAGGTGTAAGCCAATTTTGATTTTAAAATAGAATTATAATCTCCCTTCTTGTCACTTATCACTATAAAGAAATTTTTGAATGTTTTCTGCTCAAAAACAGGAGATAAGAGTGTGAATTATTTTAAGGGAGATTTTATAGAGGTGGTTTTTATGCATAACTCCTTATTATATGGCCAAAACAATCTACCATTCTCCTTTATCTGTTGTTGAGTCTCTAAAATTTAAGGTATTATATAATTCAGTCATTTTGTATCTAAAGCTTACAGTGATTTTTTACTAATATTTTCTCCCTGGGTGCTTTTGGTATCAGCATCTGATATTTGAAAATCCTTATTCTCCTGTTAAAGAAACCAGAAAAGTAGTATGACACTATGATTAGCTGATGTACCCTCAGATTATTAACTGTTTTCCTAAATCCACTCAATCAAAACCCATTGTTTCTCAACTTGTGTTTTTTTGTTTCATCATAAAATCTTTCTTTTGTGTATATTGTAATCAAGTATTTTAACATTGGATTGTCTTAATAGTGCTGGTTGATGCATTGAGAGTCTAAGAACAAAACAAGAACCTTCCCTTATGGTAGAAGTGGGAAATTCTTTCTTAGTGGTATTATTAGAGAGGAACTTTGAATTTCTAATATATCACCATCATTTAGACCTGAATTCATGTTATTTGTTCTTAGTGCATTTTAACCAATTGACCTTTACATATACTTTGCATTTATTAAATTAGAATAACTTTCAGCAGCCGAGAAATATGATTCAAAACGTTCAGTTTTTTTTGTCTTTTTCTTTTAACCCTGGAATATGACAAACTTATTCCCTAAATATTTGCATCATTGGTTAAAATCTATGTACTTATGCTGATTTCAGCTTAACATTTTCAAAAATAAGTCTGTTAAATTAAATGTAAGCTTTCAAGGGTAGAGCCATTGATCATGTAACTTGATCCAAGTATTGCCACATGGCTTACAGCATTTTCTGGGAAGATTTTTATGCCTTTGCTTCTACTGCTGTGGTCACTTTCACCTTTATATTGAAAACTCCCCAAATGTGTCTATATGAGGATAATTTTAAAACATGAGATTTATGTTGCTATAAAGGAGAAATCCTTTATAACCACATAAAACCATTCCCACCCGAAATTTCAGCCTAAGTCTTACATGAAAGGGGGCATATTTTGTATTTAATGCCTCATTAAACTTTCTGGAAACAGCAGTATCCTAAAATATTCTAGGTGAATGACTCTTTACATCTATATTTCTTCTGAAAAGTTCAGGTACCATCAGTGAAGAAAATGAAACAAATCATTTGTTGTAATAATGAAAGCCATGATATTTTCCTTCCCTTTAATTTTGACTTTTGGTTTTTTTACCTTGATGTTGCTTTTATATGCCCAGCTTGTCTCACCTGCTGTTTCTTGAGTGAAACAGCAAAAACTGTCATTCCTACACTACTCCACACTACTATCTCACCGTTGACATTATCTCAAAATCCAAAATTCTGAATTGTGATTGGGTGCACTTGTACCTGCGCAGACATCATATGTGTCTTAACATGTGTTTTTGTACTCAGGGGCATGGGTGCAAGTTTGCGATACCATATGAAGTAAGCAATAAGTAGTCTTCTTGAATTTGAATCCCAGCTCCATTATTCCTGGCTATGCAAATTTGAGAATCCCTTTTTCTTTTCTTAAATTTTGTTTTAATTTTTATTGAGAACTTGCAATTCACACTACAGTGAATGGTATTTTCATGCACGCATCATTTCAGTACCACCACACCCACCACCAAAATATTCCTTTTTCTCCCACTTGGCCCTCCCATGCCACCCCATTCATTCCTTTGTAAGCTGAGTTCTGTGGTTCAGTGGAGCAGCTCTCTGTTTCTGTGCCTTTGGCCATTTGTTGCTTCTTATTGTGTAGCCCTAAATCTAATATATGAAAGATCATTTTGTTTCTATCCCTTTTCCTTCTAATTGACTTCACTCAGCATGATACCGTCTAGTTCCATCTGTGATGTGGCAAATTGCATGATTGTGTTGTTTCTTACAGCCACATAGAGTTCTATCATATATGTAAACCACAGCTTCTTGATCTATTTATCTATAGTCGGGCACTTGGGTGGTTGTCCTATCTTCACCATCATACTAAGTGCTACAGTGAACATGGTTGTGCTTATGTCCTTTCAAGTTAATATTTTTGTGTTAAGTATTTTGGAGGTAGAAGCCAAGAAGTTATATCATTGGGTCATATGGGAGGGTGTTTTTTTTTTTTGGTTACTAAATCACTGTATTTTTTAAATTATTATTTTTTTTTACAGACTTACAAATTTTCGTGATTATGTTTCAGTCATATAATGTTCAAGTACCCATCCCTCTAACAGTCCCCATTCTACACCACCAATGTTCCCAGTATCCCATCTGCCACCCCCTGCCTCTGTGGCAGGCACATTCCCTCTTTCTCTCTCTCTCTGTGGTGTTATGGTTTACAATACAGGTACTAAGCAGCCATCATATTTGGTCCATAGCCTACTTTCAGCACGCATCTCATGTGGGCGTTTTTTTAGAAATCTCCATATTGCTTTCCACAGAGGAAGCAGCCCTTTTTAAAACTCTTGCTTAGTGTTTTTATCTTACTGTGTTTTTTTATAATATTATACATATAAAGTAATTTTAGCATCAAATCCATAGTAAGTACTCAGTAAAATACTAGCATTTACTTTTTGATTACTATGTTTATTTTATTCCTGTAGTCATATTACGTATAAATTTTTGTAATGATAAGCTACTGTTATGTGTTTCAGTGAAGTGACATTAGAGATATGCCAAAGGAATGTTTTAGATTGTGATCATTTGCTTAGATAAACTTGTTACATAGGCATCATTGATAAAAGGAAGAAATTGTGTGGAGAAAAATAAAAGAGCAAAAGTGGCATAACCATAACTTTGACTCAGAAGCTATACATTCAATTTAATGAAGCTCATTCATTTATTCAAATGTAGGCAAATTTAACATCTAGATTGTGCCAAGAGTTAGTGTTAAAATGACACATAGATGGTGTCTTTGATACAGAAATCGTGCTTGATATTTGTCCAAGGAAATTGCAAACTTAAGTCTACACTTAAATACTTGTATACAGATGTTTATAACAGATTTATTTGTAACAGCCTAAACTTGGAAGGAACTCAGTAATCTTCAGGAGGTAAATGATTAAATAAACTGTGGTACAACAAGAAAATGGAATATGGTTCACACTGAAAAGAAATCATCCACCAGCCAAGGATATAACTAAGTAGCAGAGCACATGCCTTGTATGTGAAGCTCTGGTTTTGAACCATGTTAGCCCCCACCCCACTCCACCTCCCAGAATAAATAAGCTATTAAGGGATAAAAAGACAAGGAAGAAAGTGGAATGCATTTCCAAGTGAAAGAAATCCATCTGAAAAAGCTAAATACCGTATGGCATTTGAGAAAAGGAAAAATTATATAGACAGAGAAAAAAGCTGGATGGCTTCCCTGAATTAGAGGAGCTTCCTTGAATTGGAGGAGGAAGGAAGGATGACTGAGCAGAGGATAATCACTTTCAGACAGCCAAAGGACTGTGTCAGATACTCCAATGATGGATACATACTCTTAGTCATTTGTCCAGATCCACAGAATGTCCAATCCCGAGTGTAAACCCTAATGTACACCGTAGGCACTGGGGGACAGTGACATGTCCCCATCAGCCCTAACTAAGGTTCTAGTCTTGGGGAAATGTTGATACGAGGTAGAGCGGTGGGCATGTGCCCAAACTCTGTTTCATGTTTCAGATTTTGCTGTGAACATAAACCTCTTTGAAGGTAAAGCCCAAGAAAGAAAATAATGAGATAAAGACAAGCAAAGCCAAGAGAACTTCTTTAAAATGGAAAAAAATAAAAAATGTACCAATATGAAAAATATTTTCTAAATGTGGAAGGCCTCTCCTCCAAAAACTCCTTAGTACTGCACTAGCATGGTCGTTTGGATCGTCGTTGAGAGGTTAGGGCACCCCTGGCAGTGCTCTGGGGCTTCTGCCAACTCTTTTCCTGGGGTTGCTCTTCCTGGTGCTGGGTGGGGATAATACAGTAGAGATTGCACTCAGCACTCTTACAGCCCTTTGAGCTATCTGCCCTAACTGGATTTTTTTTTTGGTAATGAAACATGCTGTTGTGAGCCCATGTTTATATCCCCACACAGAATGTTCAATAACGTTATGTGTAAAGATAAGAGGGGGAAAAGAAGGTCAAATGGCATCCATTGGCCTGTCGGTTCTATACATCTAAACTGGTTTTTCTTTTCCAGGGCGCCCCCAAGCCCATAGCCATTGAGCCATGCGCGGGAAACAGAGCCGCCGTCCTGACCGTGTTCCTCTGTCTCCCTCGAGGATCATCAGGTGCCCCTCCACCTGGGCAGTCAGGTAAGAGTGGTGCTATTCACCCAAATCATCACCTCACCATAAACTCTGATTTGCTGATGGTCCTCTTGAAAATACATGTCAAGATGCCGAGTGCTGTGACTCAAGTGGGAGAGCACAGACCCAGCACGTGCCAAACCCTGAGTTCTATCCTCAGGACCTCATGGTACCCAAACACCACCGGAGTGGCGAGTCTCCCAAGCAGCCATAGAAAACGTGCTTGTTGAATATACACGTGTGTGATCACTGGAAGCACACGTTCATAGTGTTGTCCACACTCCAAATTGGGTCAAGGACAAGAGGAGCCTCACCAGCAAGGTGAGACTTGGCCCTTTGGGCAAGCCTTTCTCCCTGTTTGTGGTTCATAATGGATGAGAGTGATAAAGACAGAAGATCCTTTATGAATGAGGGAATTCAGGGCTGGAGGGATAGTACAGCGGAGAAGGCATTTGCCTTGCACACGGCTGACCCATGTTCGACCCCTGGCATCCCATATGGTCCCCCAGCACCACCAGGAGTAATTCCTGAGTGCAGAGCCAGGAATCACCCCTGAGCATCTCTGGGTGTGACCCAAAAAAGCAAACAAGCAAATAAATAAATAAATGAGGGAACTTACTTATGTGTTTGGAAGAGATCCCGAAGGTGAAAGCTGAATGTAGTTATTTGTGTGTGTGTCCATCCAGGTGGTATGTTCCTGGGCCAGTACCCACAGGCAGGGCGCTTTTCTTTCTATGGGCCCAGCATGCTATATCCTCTGCCGCTCCTTTGCCTCCATGGGCAGTGTCTTTGGGTATTTAGGAGTATCTACAGATACTCTCTTCGTGGTCTTGTCTTTGATTATGTGGACAGTATTGACCATCCACATAATCAATATGGAGCATGATTTCTAAATCAACCAAATGGGATTGGTACTATGTAATTAAATCGCACAACATGCTTTTTGCTCTCTTGTTACGTATCTGATTCTACCTGCTAACAATTTCTGATTTTTCTGGTCTTTCAGTGATTCTCTTAGTAATATGGATGTGTTTTTAGGGTTAGGGTGATTTCAGATCTGTCTTTGTTTTGAAGCCCCCTTAAGCACGGAATAAAATGCCAACGATTTGGCAGGTTCTCAGTAATAGTAATGGATGAAGAAGTTGCCTCCCTGCGTATTTTATCTTCTCTTGGTTCCCTTGTTAGCTTTGACCTTGCTCCTCGCTTTCTTGATTTGTGGCCAAACAGGCCAAAAAAATAAAAGTTTAAAAAAAAAAAAGAAGAAGAAGAAGAAGAAAAGAAAGCCACAAACCCCTTTGTGCTTTGTTAAACACAACCTATTCATGTAAGAATTTTTCCCACTTGGGGACAGCAGGTGTCCATCTTCTTCAAACTTGTCATTTGTGGTACTTGGTGTTATCTTGTTGTAGGAATTTCCACCCAGAGTTTCTTTCTAGGTATTTACTCAAAAAATGTGAACCTCTTCTTCTTTTACTTTCTGTGAGTTTCCTACTTCTTTTGGATCAGGCAGAACGGACAGTTATAGGACAATTGTGCCCAGCTAATAGCAGCATTGTTTTAGCACTGGGAGGATTTACAAAACAAACACTTCACTAATGAAAACAAATCTGTGTGATATACACCAAGCTCCATCTACCTCCTTGACAAGATGACATACTGAAGGACAGAGTGAAGAGAACTGCCAGTACTTTATCCCTTTAACCTCTGAGATCCCTTTTGTTTGCTTGGAAAGTTCAAAGTCCCAACATGGACCTTTTCCTCAGTGGTGTTTCATTGCAGGTCCATTAGGATGAGTAACAATACTGCTATGTTAGATGTAACCAGTGCTTGACTCTTGACAAAGCATTTTTCTGGGTTTTTGTTTGTTTTATGTGTGTATGTTGGGGTTTATGACAAGTCTGTGTGATATATTTTTTAATAATAAATTTAATTTATAATTGAGGGAACAGGAATGTAGAAGTTTGTGTATTCCTACATTGGGAATAATTGGGAAAGCATTCGAATATAGAAGACAAGGACAGAACTATATTTACTGCTAAATCCCAGGTCGATTTTAATGATGCTGTCCAACAGGGAAGTTATTTCTCTACAGTCCACAGCCATATCCTCCAGTATTCAGACATTTGGAGGAATAATGAAAATATCTGTAACCTTGAGCTAACTTATGGTTTTTTTTTTTGTTTTTTTTTTTTTTTGCTTTTTGGGTCACACCCGGCAATGCTCAGGGGTTACTCCTGGCTCTGCACTCAGGAATTACTCCTGGCGGTACTCAGGGGACCATATGGGATGCTGGGATTTGAACCCGGGTTAGCCATGTGCAAGGCAAACGCCCTACCCGCTGTGCTATCGCTCCAGCTCCTAATTTATGTTTTAAAAACCTAGAGACTGAACTACATTGAGCATCTGTGTGGAGCCTGTAGATGATCATAGTCTATTGAGTCTTGCATACAGTAATTTAGGATGAACTTTTCCTTTGTCTTTGAAAAATACTTTTTTTTTCCTAGTTACTTTGTTAGATTTGCTTGAGCGGGCCCAGTAACTTTACTTTACTTACTTACTTTGTTAGAAGTAGGAACACTCTTTGATTATACTCCTACAAATACCTTATTTTCTGCTGTCTGCAATCTACTTTGAAATGCACCCAAAGCATGTTATTGATGAATGGATAGATGAACTGATATGTTTATTTAAAGTAAACATAAGAGAGAAGGGAAATAGCTTAAAAGGTTGGAATGAATGCTTTGGACTGCTCGAGGCCCCAGGTTGATCATGGACACTGTAGCCTGGGGTCCCCTAAGCATAGCATAAGTGTCCTTTTTGTCCTTCAGCACCCCTAGGCCCTAGAAACATCACTGGATCTGAGCTTTGATCTGTCCTGGCTGAGTTTTACCCTCAAAAATGATTAAATAAGTTTATTTGGTTAAACATTGATGTTAGAATGTAGGAGGTAAGAATACTGGTATTCATTATAAAGTTCTTTCCAATCTGCTAGGTATTTAACATTTTTTAGTAAAGTGTTGAGAAATAATCTTTAGGGGGAAAATACCAACCTCACTGTGAAAACCAGTAAGAAGGAGTCAGGGTCTGCAGGAAAGTTTCATATTGCTCTGTTCTGGGCCTTTCCTCTCCCTCTTGGCTCTAAGAGGCTTGGCTTGGCTCTTGGGCTATTTATGTCTCCAAATGTTGCATAGCTACTCAATGATCAATTGACATTTATTATTAGATGGAAAGTCTTTTTGCAGTACTTTGCACAAGCGCAACATTTTTTAAAAAAAAAATCAGGCTACAGTGTTTTAAAGTCTGTAAACATCACTTCTTAAATGTCGAGTGATGCTTTCCTTAATACACTCTTCATAACCGTGAATAAAAGCAGCCGTAGATGAGTGGATTTAGAAATATGGAGGAGGAAGGAAGCCTCCTTGGGCAGCCTCGCGGTGGTGGTCTCTAGGACTCTGGAGCTCACCACTTAGCACTGAGTGAGTCAGAAGCCTACAGGTACCCACATGGCCCTTCTCTTGTCTTGTTACGTAGTTAGTGATCAATTTTATTTTCAAATGTGGCATTGGCAGTAGATTCTGCTCTTTTCCCACAAGTTAGTATTTAAATGTTCTTCAGCAAGGAATAGCCAAACACAGCCCTCTATCTAACTTGTGTCAAATCTCTTTCGTGCTTTCCATCCTAGAGGTCAAGAGAAGAAATGTGACTTCATCCTTTTGATTGTCCCCAGGCACTAATCTTCTTTTTCCCTTTAATAAAATGAATTTAGATGTTTGTGAGCAATTCTCCCTATAGGTGGTTTATAAGAGTAAAAGCAAAAGAAATTATTATAGAGTCTTTTTGGCATTCCTGGGGCCTGACTTATTAGATTCTTTGCTCCCCTACCTGGCAAGCCTGCTGTTTCATTCCTGTATTTCTGGGAGCGGCCTCTGTCCACACTGCCAGATGCACTCAGATTAATATGGGTTTTCTGCTGTTGACATATGGACCCCGTGTCGCCATGCTCTCTTCTGCCCTGGAGTTGGGTGAAAGACTATCTTTACACAAAAGCCGGATATGTGGAGAAACTGTGCGGCCAGCTCTAGACAACCAAGTGAGTCTCCAATCACCTTGGACAAGCAAGGTCCCCAAGCATGTTAGCGTCACATTAAGATGAAATGTGGGCAAAGTAAATAGAGCGCTTCCAAAGCATAAATTGAAAATGATCATGATGGCTGTCACTTTATGATGGAAGATTATGGATTCTAGAGCCTGTGGATTCTTACTAATAAGAAGGAAATTAACTTTCCTACTGGATTATAATTCCCAGCAGCACAAATGTCCACTGCCAGCAGGAGGGAGCTCTGTGTTCCAAGTGACAGTAGAATTTTGCCCTGATCATGCTTCGTCTCTGATGGGAGAGGAAGAGTACTAGAAGGTCAAAGGTTTGAAAGTTTCATATTTGTAGGCTGATCAGTTTTGGAAGGATGATCAAATTATTTTGAAATATCGAGGAATATTGTATGATGTTAAGAACTAAATTAATTTTAGAATATTTTTATTACTTTGTATTTATTTTGGGGTTTGGGGTCCAAATACAATGATGCTCAGGGCTTACTCCTGACTCTCTACTCAGGAATCACTCCTGGAGGGCTCAGGGTACCATATGGGATGCTGGAGGAGATTGAACCTAGTTCAGCCATGTGCGAGGCAAGCACCCCATCAGTGGACTATTTCTCCAGCCCCAATTTTAGAATACTTTTAATATGACATACCCATTGTCTTGGAAGCCTTGCTTGTGTGTGTTGACTAATGGAAAACGTGTTTAAGAAAATGCAAGGGAGGACGAGAGGTAGGCCCAGTATTCATTGACTTAACTCTCAAGTGAACCTACCAAGGAGCTATTCTAGTTCTCCTTTTACAGTTCAGTCCTCAAATTCATGAGGGACTGAATGACTTGTCCAGAGCCAGTATAGCTGTTGACTGAGACACTTCTTTTTTTTTCTTTTTGGGTCACACCCGGTGATGCA